AAAAAAAAAAAAAAAAAAAAAAACACTTGAAAATACAGGGCTACGCTAATTACTTGCTCTTTTTACTAGATTCCTTTGAAGACTTAGAGTCTGACTTAGAGTCAGATTTTGTTTTACTAACAGATTTAGACCTACGTTTCTGGATTAGAGAAAATATTAATCCAATTACAAAGCTAGCAAACCCAACCCAGAAGATCCATGGATTTTCTCTCAGGTAGTCTGCAATCATTTGTGTGAAGTCATCACTGGAAAAATAAGAGGGAGTTAAAACTTCAACAGTAGAAGTAAGATATACCAACAATGTAGGCACAAACATCATCATTTCAAATCCAAGACACTGTTTTTTATTTTCTAAAATTAGACAGAGTACTTACAAAGGCGACTTTGGAGGAGGAATTTTCTCGGCCTTAGCATTTTTGTACCAGTCAGTTGCAAAGGATGCAAAGGATGTAACATCATATTTAGGAATCTGGTATCTGTACAGTCTTCCCTGGCGAAACCTGGTAAGAGATTGGGAGAAAGTTATGTTTTTAAAATCACAGAACCACATATTTTTATCCAACGGCTTTTCAACAACGATGGCGATAACTCACAAGATGAAAGATGGAACTTCCTGCACTCCAAACCTTCGCCCTGTGGCAGCTCCTGCTGCACCCTTGTTGACACGTGCAACATTCATACGGGTCTTCAACTTTGCACCCACAGCTTCCCATCTTGCTTGGAGGCGCTGGCAGTCCACACAGTTATCAGAGTAGCTGAAATAAAGAAAAATGCGAATACAGAAATTCATTGAACAATTGGTATTGAAAATGTAATGTCATGCATGGTAAGAGAAAAGAACCTACAACATGACAAGCCAATCACCAGTGGTTGCACCAGTAGATGCTTGAGTAAGATGCTCAAAAGTGTTATCATTGAGTTCTTTTACAACTGGTTCCTTATTGTCAGTAAATGTATGTAATATTAACTCGTCGTTTATGGGACCTAAGTAAGATAAACACATGATTAATGTCACTTTGATGCAGGTATCTATAAGAAGCAAAAGATTGTAAATGCTGCTTACCGTCATACAACAGTGGTACTCCATGTCTAAAGAAAACAAGAGCTGGCTCTTTTGTAGGACTGTACAGCTTAACCATGCTGCTTGATACAGCTTTCACAACCCAGGCATTGAGAGCGTCAACCAAATCTTCTCTGAGGGATGTAAGTTCTTTCTCAAGCACCTCACAAGACTCACAATCTTTTTTGGCTGTAAAGTAGAAAAATAAAGTCGAGTCAAAACCAGGATGTTAAGAAAAAAAAAAAGAGGGAAATTACGATTTAGACGAAAATCGCTACACCGGTAAAACACGGAAACATATGTGAACAAATACAATGCAAAGAAAAGAACTGTCGACTGACAGCCACCATAAATAAAAGATATCGGTCAACATAGATAAAATTAATGCATGTGAAAAATGACAGGTCAAATATGTGTGACAATCATATGCAAGTGAAAGCCAAGAATGGGAGGGAACGCCTAACCTAACAAATTGACTTACTGAAAAGAACGACGACAAATTTTTCGGAGCGGAACAAATTAACCAGTTCATCGTCATTTACAACTTCTAACGATCCGGGAGACGCGCAGCAAGAGGCAAAAGCCAAAATTAAAATAAATAACCGCCACATTTTCGGTGTGTCGACTGCGTCGACAAGATTTTCGACAACAAATGTCACTTCACTTCGTCGCTCTGTCGGCTGCTTCCGGCTTCGGACTTCGGGATTCCGAAGATTCGGGGTTCGGGGAGTTTGCTTGTCCTCCCATGTGTTTCAGTGTTCGCAGGCAGGACGGCCGGAAAAAAAAGGGACGCCATCTTGCGTTGATTCGTGTTTAGAAATGGAAGTTGATTCATCACATCGTCGTGCAAATGAATGAAGTGGATGAAAGCTTTCCCACAAAAACAAAGATAATCGTAAGTCAAACACGTAATTTACTCGCTAATTTGTTTTTTTTTTTATTTCATTTTCATTTGATAATGTGGGAGGTAATATGCTGATGAGTTTCTACCGTTCGCCTGGATTGGTTATGGTCGAGATCTACTTTTCTGTCACCCAGTAGTTGATTGATATATTGAAATAAATTTAGAGAGATTAACTTCCGTGACGAACAATAGGAAACTATGTTGTGTGAATTTTCCTGTGAATTCCTCGAACTAGTCTGTTACTAGACGTGCTTTGTGTACCTAACCCTGGGTTGACAGCCTGTGACGTATATCGCGCTACGCCCACAGCTCTTCTGAAATGACTGAATGACAGATGAAAGCCAAGTTAGCGTTTACTACAAATCTAATTACAACAAAAAATACAAATTACCGTTGACTTCAAGTTATGTTACTTACTCTCATTGATTTTCTTCCCCCTTGTGTTTTGAGTTTGAAAGCATCAAAGGTCAACCAGTTGTCTGCAACATTTTGTATTTGTCTATTCCATTGTTTTCTATAATAATTTTTTTTTTTTCAGGTGCAATTTTATTCTGAAATAGTCAATTTTAATTCACCACAATGTCAGGCCGAAAAGAAGAGTTAGAGAAAAAGAAAGCAAAGCTTCAAGCTATTCGGGAAGAGAAGGAAAGAAGACGGAGGGAGAAGGAACAGAAAGATGTATGTTAATAATGATATATCTGCCTCAGATTACTTGTTGTGCATTATTACACATTCCATGGCATTTTTGTTTTATTTTCGTAAAACTAATACTTGTTTTTACATCTGTTACTGTAGATAGAAGAAGCTGCATCTAGAGCTCAGTATGGGGAAAAAGAAAAAGACCAAAGAAAAGAGCTAGAAGATATGTTAACATCCTTAGGTATTGCTCCGCCTTCAGGTATGTCTGGAACTGACATTTTTTGTTCATTTTTGTTTGCAAATGAATCTATTGCCATATTAATTAATAAACTAATTTCTCTCCATCTTTTTCAGATGTTATGTCTAGTTTGTCTAGTATGCCATCTCTTTCAGCAGAGCATAGTGATAATGCCACTCCTGATTCAAGTCTTACTCTAAATTCAGCATCCCCAATCACACCAGCTAGGTATAAAGATGCCTTATTTAAGGAAGTGCTTTTCTTTTTTTTATCAGGTTTTTATTTTTTTTCCTAAATTTTCAGCAAGAAGAAATCCTCGCAATTAAGTGTGGTCTCTGTTCAATCCACGACTATTCCTCCTAAAGAGACAGTGACATATGCCAAACAAACTCAAACAGTCACAGCGAGTGGTCATGAGAGAGACGGTGAGTACTTTAATTCTCATTCTTTTATCACTCTATTGCTCCAAGTGGGAAATTGATCGTTACCTTCCTAACTTTGATGATGACAAGGTCAATAAATTTCGGCTTCCAAATTAACAGTACCACAGCTTTTGCCCAGTTGCCATTTTAAAAGTAATGAAATAGTAACCTCCTTATGGAGACTCAGTTCAATGGCACTAAGGGTATTAAAGTTGATAAAGTTGCCCATATTTTTTTCTCATATCTATAAACAATTCTTTAGTACGTACATGTGTATGTTTATCCGTAGACTGTAGACTGCATGGGCCTTCATATTGTCAATTATTTCATTTTATAATCTATATTTTCCTTTTGGAGTGTTCTTTTCCCCCTTATTATTCTTATTATTGCATTAAAGTTTGCACCACCTTTCCATGTATATTGTTCTACTTTATTCTCAAAGTTTCACTCAATCAGAGCAGGGCTTATTTAGATCTGCTGTTGATTCTGTTTGTTGCATGTTGAATATCAAAATTTACAAGCTACTTTAGTTAAAAAAGAATTCTTTTGTACAAACTTTTGTCTAGCATTAAGTACCACTCTCTTCTTTCTCTTGAATTAGCTTTTTGAAGTCTTTCCTCCCTCCCAGTCAGTTCTTCAGGGTTCATGGATGAGAGACACAAAAACTGTTCTCAAATGCAAGCCTACCTCATTATTATGGCATAGAATTGACCATGACAGTCAATATTAATGCATCTCTGGAGATACCCAAAGAACTGTCTGGTTGTTTTGATGGAAATTTACAGCATAACTCTGTTTATGCCTGCAATGTTTGCACTTTTTTTTTCTTTTTTTAATGGTAAGCCTGAGGAAACCCAAATACACCATAGATATGGCTTTCTATATTTATTTTCTTCTTAATTTTTTCTTTGGGTGCAGCTCTATCTTGATACCTTTTATTTACCGGCAGCTCTTTCTCATCTAAAATGCTATGTATTTGAGCTAATTCTGTAGCAGTTATTATGTTGTGCTTTTTTATCTACTCTAATGCACCCTAGTTTGTTCTGCTCTGCTTCTTGGAGGATATTTAATTATATAGCATGACTCAACCTAATTGGACTTTTGTCTTGAGTTCTAGTTGTATGTATTTTGATTGGTTTGTAGACTGGGATGAGAATTGAGTAGTTGGGGATATTTAGATGGTACATATTCATTGTGTCTGCAGACTGTCTTCCAAATTTATTTACTGTGATATTGAGACCTTGCTTGTGCCATGTATTAACCCCTCGGCATATTCAAATCAATTTCACCAACATACGTATTTGAAATAATGTGCTTAATATCAATCACTCTTCTAAAATTTGTTTTGTCAGTGCTTGTTGTCATTGGATTCAAACCAAATGTCATTTAATTGGGGCCAAAAGGCTAAGGCAATGATCTTTGATACATGGTGTAGTGCGAGGGGAAATTTTGTAAATTTATTTTGCAAGGCTCCTCAGAGCACTTGCCAACTTGTTTGTGCTTCTGTTACTGCGCTCTATATAAAAGGATCTTCTTCCTCCTCTTCTCCGTTGAAAGGATACTTCGAGGACTGGTGGAGGCCCCGTAAAGGTGGGTTTAAATCACATGAAAAATATGTATTTTTTCTTGAAAAATGTTTGAGTTATGATCCATATATGTTTTCAAATTTTTGATGAGCTCATAAGCTCTTCAAATTTTTAATATGTGTGCCTTCAAAGTATTATGATGTCAAATTGAAACAATACCGTGAAAGCTTTTATTTTTGTAAATCAAAAATTAGTTATTAGGGTAAAATTTCATCAAAAACAAATCTTAATTTCTCAGTCTGAAACCATGGTTTTCAATCAACTCTTTATTCTCGTCTTTGCTGGCAAGGTGTGTTGAGATTGCATTGAGGAGTAGCATTGTGTGTGGCATCCAAGGAACTAGAAAATAATAGTTTGTACTATCACCATGAAGAATCCCACATACGTCTTCAAAATACGAACTTCAGTATCAATTAGTATGTGAGTAAATTCCTGAAAACCAAGAAGTCTGTTCTGATACATTCTGGCTGATGGCGCCATGGTCTGAGAGCCCTGTTATGTTTCTGGCCATGTTCATTATCTTCATCATCTTGTTTTATTACTCTGTCCACCTTTCAGGTACTCTTGGGTGAATGCTAAATAAGCAGTGCATCTTTTGCTCCTAATCTTGATCTATTGTCTCTCAGCGTATGTTTGCATTTTAACCTACTCATTAACAAAATATCTTTAGTGGTGTTGTGTGTGTGTCATGTTTTCACTACTCCAGACATTGTTGTGTAGGGCAATAACAATATGCTGCACATATTTTAAGTGCATATGTGGTGGTTTCCTCATGCTTGCATCAAATAACCATATTCTTGCAATCTGCATTTTATTTCAAAAAAAAAAAAAAAAAGGAAAGAGTGGTGGTTCCAGGTTCAGGTTACCATGTCACTGAGCTATTAGCTCACTAAACCAATGCTCTAATTGTGTCTAATGACGAGACTATTTCAACACTTTTTTTAAGTTTCCATTTAATTTACTTATGGGATTAACTGCTGCTGTTTTAATGAATCACAATGTCTTGTGCTCAATACTGAAGTTCATTTGTTTTTGTTTTGTTTTCCATCCTGCCCTCTTATCAACTTACTGCCATGTAGCTCACGCCTTCGACTATTACGGTAAGTTGAGATTTTAACCTCTGTTAGATCTTAGAATTTTATTCTCATAAGCTCTGGTGTTTACCTACAAATCCAATTAATATAATTTTCTCAAGAATATGTTCATTTAAAGTTTAATCAGACCACAACACTTTCTTTGCATTACTTGGCATTCGTATATTGAATTTGTAGGTAAACATCAGATGAATATGCAGATTAAATTTTGAAATATTTCATCATATTATCTATCTGGTAGTTTAATGTTGCCATTTGTGAGAGAAGCAAAAGCGTATTAATATGGTATCAAAGACTCCACATACCTCATGCGTATGTGTTTGCTTCATCTGGTCTTGTTTTATGTTGGTCATGGGAATTGTGAATTTGCAAGTTAATTGCTATATTCCCGAGATCTTCAATCAATATTGCACTTTTAAATAGTACAGCTTTTAATTTGAAAGAATGAGCCCTACATGTGCCCATTGTGTAAAGCATGATAAAAGATTTATTTTCATGACAATCAAGTAAACTGTGTTAAAGGTCTACTTGTGATTTATCTTGCTGTACTATTATCTTGCTGTCACTTGTGAATCAGGAGGCAACTTAATTCTCACTTCTGCTTCTTAAAGTTCATGCTGGAGCTTGGCACTATGCTGCATCTCCTTGCTTGTCATTTCATGTTTTGCTCCATGTCCATTTTGTACTTGTTCTCTCACAGGTCATTTATTTATCTGTATTCCTTAGAAATTAAGAGTCAGCTTAACTTATATTCAGTTCTATGAGGTCAAAAGTGTTGAGAAAGAAAGGAAGAAATGCAAAATTACATTAATTGTCTACCTACAGGCTAAACGACATAGCTGCCAAATTGAACAACTTAACGCACCTTCCAGTGGTTTCTCCATTAAATTTGCACATATAACTTTCTCTTCTGAATTCTGGCAGCACATTTTTACCCAAATAAATCGGTTTTTGCGATAGGGGTTACATTAACACTAGACATGTTTTAACATTCTTGACAACAAACTTTCAACACTTGGCATGCCAATGAACATAATTTTTCTCACAATTGTTTACTACCATGTGTGCCCCTTTTCATAACCTTTTCCCCTTTTCTTTGTCTTTACTACTGCTTGCTTCCTTGGTTGTCTAACAAAAGCTGTACAGTGCATCGTTAATTATCAAAGCAACCATGCTGTGTTTCTGGTGTTCTGTCATTACTAACCATAGTCACACTTTTCATATGGTGATGGAAAGAATGTAGCCTATTTAATCACCCTTTGAAAAAAGTGGTGTTTGCAGCAGGTTGCACACATACTTTGTTATCTGCTGGGATATATTGTAGCGCCTATGTTTCCTCTACAAAATGCTGGTGTATCTGAGGACTGTGGTGGATTCGGTATCTTCTGAAAAGTGTTAATTGAGCAATCTGGTATCGTTTCCAATATGAAATCAATTGATATTTTATTTTCAAGTGTTGCAAATTAATGAACTGAGGGTTACACTTTCATCTTTCTCTTCATGTAAATTAAAGAGCTTTGATTGGTAGGTTTTGTTTTTAACTGTTGCAGTACATTTTGATCTGTAACTAATTTCAAATTAAAATCATATATATCTGCTCAACAATTTTGTTTTGTCACAGTAATTTTTTTCTTTTACTTCAATTGAATGTGTTAGTGCACTTCATTGTGCCTCTCAACACATTTCAAAATTTTAATATCTTTAACTTCTTAATCTAATCTATAGTATACATTTGGTTTTCAGTACAGGACCTAAACCTCATTAGTTTGTACTCTTGGAAAGGGCACATTTTAAGAAACTTATATGGACTGTTTAACTAATGTTATCACTTAAGTGTTTCCTTGTCTATCATGATTGTTTTGTTTTATTTCATCCCAAAAGACGAGTACAATCTAAACCCTGGTTTAGAATGGGAGGATGAGTTCACAGGTAGGTGTACAGTCTAGCACCCCTGTCTTTCACTTTCTACTTTTATTTTATTAGTTAGTTCTTGCGTTATTAGTTGGATGAAACCAAAGAAGGCTGCGTTAACTTGTGAAGTTCATCAGGGCGAATCTCGGATCTTTTGTGATGAACCTTGATTTATATTGTTTTGACAGCATGTTGTTTTTATTAGTATGAATATTTTTGTTGTTGCTTTTGCTGGCTGCATGGTGGCTTAGGCCGCTACTTGCAATTCTGTCATTCATGCACTAACATTCCATACGACACATCTTTTTACTACACAGAGCTTCTTCTGATAAAGTTTTTACTCAGGTATGGTGATGTTTTCAGTTTCTCTCGTTTCTTCAATATTAGTGAAAGTTAGAAAATGCTTATTTTCAAATACTTTTTCCAGTGAGCATACTCCCCCCTCCCCTTACTTTGGAAGTTTTTAAAATGTTTTTCTCAATTGATAATACATATGTATGAAAGATAACAGTCTGAAGCAGAGAGACTGATGTTGGTATATTTGGTGTTGCGTATGGCTGACAGAGCAAGCGGTCTATACCCCCAGCAGAAAAAAATTGATTTTGTACAGTGATCCTTAGTTGTTGTTTTTTTTTTTTTTTTTTTTTAAACCTCTTAAGTTTTGTCAGAGCATGCTGGCTTTGTTA